ATTTAATTCGGTGGCGTCGTTGCTTTTTCATTTGATCTAGATAGGTATACGGTGAATCATTCAAGGATATTATTACACTGCGCGAGAATCAAGTAACTCAATATTGATTCACTCATAGGGTCTTTGCTTCGGAAATAAACACATTTATTCGAAAACCAGTTGTTGGCATGATACGGGTTATGTTCTTCTCATATATTTTATGATGGTATGATACTAAACCCCTAACGGGAGGGATTGTACTTGATTTTCATATGATGAAGACATAATCTTTCAATCAGTTTAATTGAGGTCTGGAGCTGGCATGTCAGTAACTACTAGAAGTCCTTTGTTAATTTATGTATCATTGTCATTTTGCTTAGTTTCTTGTGTTACCTATTCTGACATCGGACTCGGACTTCTTTTAAACTGAGTTTTACTGTGCGTATCGCTGAGTGTTTCTTTATTCTACATTGGCTAGAGGTATAGGGGGGGGGGATTGAGATCTCTTAAACATGTTTAACCCCGCCGCATTTTTGCGCCTGTCCCAAGTCAGGAGCCTCTGGCCTTTGCTAGTTTTGTATGTTTTTTAATTTTAGTTCATTTATATGTTTTGGAGTTTAGTAAGACGTCCATTTTCACTGAACTAGTACACATTTTTATTAAGGGGCCAGCTGAGGACCACCTCCGGGTGCGGGATTTTCTTGCTGCGTTGAAGACCCATTGGTGGCCTTCGGATGTTATATGCTCTTTGGCCGGGTTGTTGTCTCTTTGACATATTCCCCATTTCCATTCTCAATTTTACCACTTAGGTTGGACTCCCCTTACAATATCACTGAAAGTTTAATCTAGTTCTTTTGCTGTTTGAATCTTGGTGAAAGTATCTGGTGGTAGAAGGTTCCAATCTTTGATTGTGTTTGGTATGAAGTAGTATTTAATTTGTCTGGTTTTGTTTGCAGTCGTAGGAATTGTTGACCATAATGCATGTTCTGGGTTGTCCTATATTTTTTTCAGTTGATCAGATGGAAAATTGGCTTCAGTGTGTATGCCATTGCAGCAGAGGATATCATCTGTTTTGGGTTCGACGATCTTTAAGGGATGGTAGTTGCAGCTGGTCTAAAACTTCTGTCATAATGCCTGGGTCGTAATTTTAGTTTGATGTTATGAGAGTTTATGGTCTTGCACGGAGCACTTCCAACAAATCGGTAAAAGATTTCCCTAAATCATATTCTATTGATGTGTTTGCCTGCGTTACCACTGTAACTACAAATAGTCTACTCATGTCTTACGTTAAGAATGCTTATCATACTAAATTTAGCAATAATATTGTAACAACAACGTTGTGTGTGTCTGTATGGTGTAACTTTCAAACGCACAAATGATTAAAATTTGTTTTCATATATTTAGAGACGGACGCGAGCGGCTCCTTACTGGACGCGAGTTTAAAAAAAAAAGTTCTTTTCTGGTCGACCTTTCACAACACGCGGGGAATCCGACGAACGAAATATTAATTTGGCGTGGCCTTATAATTTTATGCGTCCGTAGCACTTTTCTGACTCACCTTCAACACGAACTCTAAAGGCTAAACATCTAGAAGCTAGTGATGCATAAGAACCAACACACTTGAAGAACTGAAAATATAGCTTATTTTATCTAAGGTCAACTTTGTCATAAGGAGTTTGAACCTTAGTTTCCTTATGAATTATAAATGGTATATATCATTTCAATATATAAAGAAAAAAAAATATCACTGAGCCGATGATACCATAGCCACCATTAAACCAAAAAAAGTGGTATTGACCCGCTGTCATGAAAAATGAAGAGGTAAAAAAAACTATAATATATATGTTATGCGATCGAAGTTCAGGAAAGTTCAAAGCCAAGCATTTGAAATCCAATAATGTATAAGGACAGAAACGCATTAAGAACCATATGGCAGAAAGGGACCAAACTTTTGTCGCAACTTTGCCTTCGGCAATTGGAACCTTAGGTTCTTGATATATCTTAATTCATCAACGGAATATTTCAGAAACATTCCTAACTTATAGACGATCAATTTTCAAAATTTATGTTATAAATCATATCATAACAAAAGCAACGACTACTGAACGATTAGACCGTTGGTTTTCCTGTTTGAATGGTTTTACACTAGTCATTTTTGAGCCAAGGCTCCGTGTTGAAGACCGTACTTTGACCTATAATGGTTTACTTTTACAAATTATGACTTGGATGGAGAGTTGTCTCATTGGCACTCATACAACATCTTCTTATATCTATTATAATAACATTGGAGACTTAAAAGTCCACCAGCAGCTGCACAGTACGAGTGCTATAACAAATGAAATAGACATTTTTAGATAATATGATTTCTATCAAATAATAATCTGTCCAAATTCCTGTGTTATCCTAGATAGGAAGAATTTGAGAATTAGAAAACCCCAACTAAATCAAAAAGAAACATATATGAATGAAGCTGTACCGTATTTCGGGTATTTTTCGCGTCGGCTTTTTTCGCGATTTGAAGACAAAATGAGCAGGTTAAATTTTCACTGTGTATTTTTTTCGCTGAATGGTAAAAATTCACGCGAAAAACATAACTGTATCGTATTGTTTGTAAACAACATCAACTTAATTTCAAATAAATATAAGTACTTTAGACGAAAATACACTTTTACGGAACGTAACATATTTAAATCGGAGTATGATAATAAGTGAAGGTTTTGATAATTACAGGTATACAAATATCCGTGTAAATAGGATTATTTTTTTAACGTTACATGCAAAATGTTCAGATTTTTACACGAATTAATAGAACGTCGCTAATTAAGATTTTTAACATGTCACTGATTGTTGTGTTGTCGAAATGTGTGACATGTATGATTAGCCAATTAGTTATTATGAAAACAGAGATTTTGATTAAGTATGCATATCCTTGTGATCTGTTGAACAACACATAAGACTCGATAATTGACAGTCTTTCAAACAACCATTAATTGTGGAATATGCAGGAAAATTTACGTGGGGTCAAAGTTTCACATTTCTGTAGGTGCCGCGAACAAAGCGAAAATTAAACACATGAAAGAAAAAAAACCCGATATACGGTATATCTAATTTTTTGAGAGAGGAAACAACAGAAAAAAATCGTTTAATGAAGGCGCCAGTAGTTTACCTATGTCCAAATAAATCTCTTTAATCGATTAAGAAGAAAGAAATCAAATTAACAAACAAAGACTGAGGAACTCGCATGAGCTTCAAAACGGGCGAGACCGATTGAGTTGGCATGGTATGCGTCTCCTGCGACAAAAGCTTCACTTGTCATGTGATATCACCCTGTGGAGCAGTTTTTGTGTACATACGATTGTATATCATAAAAATGGGGATTCGCTAGAATATTGACATTGCATGAATTAGTAGATAACCGAGGCAATAGTATGTCTTTCTTAAACTTCCTACAATAATATCAATTCAGGCATACTTTTTGTACATCAAAATATCATTTGAATATCAAAATTGTATTATTTGGTAACTTTGAAAGAAAATACATAAAATATGATAAAATGACCATTTTGCTTGCACACTATTATATTACTAGTAACCAAACAAAAGTACAAGATGTGTTGCCAAGTTAAATTCTTGAAGAAAAAAATTAAAGGTAACTTTAGAGGTACCTTTCTTTTGAAAAAAAAACCTCGTGAGAAGACGATGTTATAGACATTTTCCCCAAATGTGACTTACCAAATTACACTCATTACTGGATTTGTACTAACATGAGCAAATCGACGGTTGTCACATGTGGAGCAAAAACTGCTTACCCTTCCAGAGCACCTGAGATCACCCCACATTTTTAGTGGGGTTCGTGTTCTCAGTATTTAGTTTTCTGTGTTGTGTTTTGTGTACTGTTGTTTTTCTATTGGTCTTTTTCTTTTTAAATCATTGCGTTGTCAGTTTATTTTCGACTTGTGAGTTTGAATGTCCCTTTCGTATATTTTGCCTCTCTTCTAAGCCCTTTACTATTATGTGAAGGTCCTGTTTTTGTCATACTACTCCCAATGTTTCCATGTTTTCCTGATGAAAGAAAATCCGGAAACACTTCAGGACGCATGCAATGTATTCTGAAATAACAAGTATATCCTAGAATGAACAAAGAGTTTCTTGTGTACAATTTGGAGTTTAGTATGGCGTTCATTATCACTGAACTAGTATATATATTTGTTTAGGGGCCAGCTGAAGGACGCCTCCGGGTGCGGGAATTTCTCGCGGCATTGAAGACCTGTTGGTGACCTTCTGCTGTTGTCTGTTCTATGGTCGGGTTGTTGTCTCTTTGACACATTCCCCATTTCCATTCTCAATTTTATTCTATGGGAATCAAGAAATATTTTCTCTTGTTATTAATTTTAATAATAGTTTTGTTGGTCTTTTTAAACGCTCGTCTTGTGTTCACAATGATTAGCCTGATTACTTTCAAGATTTTTTAACTATTGGTATACATGTTATACAATAAATTACTTATGTTTATAAATGTTTTGGTGTTATTTTCTTTTTTGTTGATATGTCATTCTCTACAGCATTGTTTTCAAATGTTATGCAAGCTTTTTGCTAAAAAACGAACTCAAAATAATGAATAAAACTCGCACTTTTCTCACAAAAGTTAAGTAAATTTCAATTTTTAGTTAAATGATCAAATATTTTTTAATTGTAGCAGATTTAAATAAAACAGAGGAGAATGAGCGAGAGTATCGTTACATGTGTTTACATTATTTTAGCAGTGCAGTACTAATGTATCGCTATGGCATATCAATTTGATAAAATAAGATGTTTCTTGTGGTATACATTACAATAATGATTTAGTGCTATATGCTATATTTGTTCGTAAAATTTTGTTTGTATATTAGTACTCCCAAATCAATTTGTTTTTTTCTTTGTTAGAATGCAATGTGCTGTTAAGACTCAAGCTTAACATTTCAATTACGATTGACAACCGTTATAAAACAATTACTCTCAACTTATTGTTACTTTTCCAGAACATGTTATCCATGTTACAATGATGAAAGAAAGGTTGACGAAATAATTCCAAAGTCTTCATCATTATATCACCCATTCAGTTTAGCCATAGATTCTGATCATGATCATATATACTGGTCGGACAGCAGCAACAACGCACTTATTCGCTCTGAACTGGATGGTTCAAACACAATATATGTTTTAAACAGAACCAATGGAATAGGACATATTGCTTTGGATACAACGAATAGGTAAATATTGAGATTAACAAATTAAGGTGAATTGAAATAGCATGATAGATAAACAAGGGAGTGAACAAAATCGAATTGCTACATTTGTATTGAGACAATCTCTTCATGGGAGGTATGACTTGTAATAGTTTCTATATCAGATGAATGACAGGAGATAGGGAAAACTACAACATTGTACGATAACAATTGTAATTATTTTGGTTAATAGAGCTTGAAATATCAATTGCTGACAACTGTTTGGGTTGTCGGAAATATTGTCTGAATAAGATATCTATAGTAATATGATTGTACTGTACTGTACATGTGATTTAACATTATAATTTGAAATTTGATAACTGCATTGACCACACCTATCCAAATTGAGGTTCAAATATTACACATACAGTAAGTGTATACCTTATTATACACCTATAAATCGATAAAAGTTTTTGGATAGCTACCCACAGTTTTGTGTTAATCGAGGATATATCTTCAAGAGTCATAAATCGGTAAAAAGGTTACCGAATTTCAATCTCAGATAACCTTATAAATTTGTCATTGTCACAATCCTGGTTACTTATTTTTGGAAATGACGGATTTCTTTACGTCTTTAGCAGCCAAGCGCGTTATTTGATCTAGATTTTCCTTTTTAAAAAGCTGGTCCTATAATCGTTTTGTTTGTTCCATTACTGAAATCTAACTTCAAATGAACCAGTTTTTCATAGAAAGATACCTTCCTACCTGCTCTTTAAAGGCTAAAGTGTTGCTCACATGTTAGATGTTTGCAAAATCGCGCATAGACTACTGTTTGTTTAGTAGACCGTTTCAATTACCATTTCTTTCACTTGATGTTTGGATTGCACTCTTATATATTATTTCCTTTGTACCGATTCGATATTAATCTTTATACTAAATTAACATGTACAAATATTGTTTTGTTGTTTTGGATGAGCATGAAATGAAAAACATATACTTTTTGCTATCATATAATCCTTTGATATTTATATTTAATTGTCTTATGTTTCAATATCGTCATTTAGAATGATTTATTTCATGGATGATGGAGTTGGATCAATTGACAGGTGTACATTAGATGGACAAGATCAAACAACTATTATAAGCGACTCTATGTTAACAAGAAACTCCCGTATAGTATTGGGTAAATATATTATACAATCTGAATATTTTAACATACGTACATTCATGTTTTTGTATTTGTATGTTAACAAAATAATGTTAAATTCGTGTTATGTTTTTTCTTATGTACATTTTCTTTTGAAGAAAAGGTAATTTTATATTGATTGTTTTACCTTAATAAAAGTACTCCATTAACAGATTTTTGGAGTAGAAGGATTTTTTGGACTGTTGGAAATACAGTGAGAAGTGCAACATTCGAAGGAAAGGAATTTAATGAATTTCAAGGACATGGTCAGCATTATTCCTGGTCTAAAGTGATTGGCATTGATTGTCATGGAGACAACTTGTATTATTCCGACAATATTTATCATTACATGAATAAAGTAAATAAATCTGGAGACAATCGTGTTAAAGCAGCTCACGTATATAATCATATGCGAGAAATACGGACTTATTATGGGAAAGGTAAGTCACGTTAGTTTAATTACAAAAAAACATTCTGCAATTTCATAAATATAAAACCAAGTCGTGAAAGCAATATGCCATACATTTAACGTATCTTTAATTTTATCTGAATTGCTTTCATAGTGATAAAACAGAGTTTTTACATTTATTTTGATACGAACAAAAGTATATCAACATTAAATTAAAACAGATTAGCCAGTATACATAAATCGTAGGTGTAATCATTTAGATTGTATGGAATAGTTTTTTTTTTGAAATTCCAAAATGAATAACGTTTATAAGTTTAAGGTTTTATTTGCTAGGTTAACCTGATCAGTTTTGGATAAAAAAAAATGCAGGATACTAATTTCATTTCAGACAACATCGACAGTGTTGTATGATATTTGTTTCCTTTATTTTTGTTTTGGCAATAACTTGATAATAATCTTATACATAATCAATATTATGGAATCCAATGCGACTGTCATGAAAGAGAGAGGTTAAGCTAGCTATAAAACAAGATTTAATCGAACATTTTTTACACAAAGAAATGCCTCTACCAAGTCAGGACTATGACTGTTGGTTTCCATTCGTTACATATGTTTGAGCTTTTGATTTTGCAATTCGGTATTTTTGTTATTTCTATTCTTATTATCAAAATTCGTTTTGTTCAAAGTAAAAAAGGGGCTGATGACAACAAGGGACAGTCGGTATCCATAGATAGAAGAGAAACTGACAACGACATAGTAATTAACGAAAGACGAACAAATCTACAAAACACCACATAAATTGAGCAACTCGAACCCCACCAAAAACTGGGGGTGAACTGAAGTGCTCTAGAAGGACTGGCACTTTCTTTTCTACTTTTGTCACCAGTTGTGTTGCGCATGAACGTACGAATCCGGTGGCAATTCTCTTTCTGTCAACAATCGAGGATAAGAGGACTTGATTGTGGTTACGATAGTTAGAACCTATCCATATTTATCTGAGACACAGATATTATAAAAAACTGTCGACGAATACGTGATGGCGTCCATTAAACATTAGAAGGAATGGCTTCAACTTCACGAGTTGGAACCCTATATCTTAATAGATTCCTTGTATGCAGTAAATCACTACCAAGGAAGGCATGATAGGAGATATATACTCCATATGCAGTCCCTGTAGGAATGTTGCTACATAGAAACTGACAGCTCATAATTGGGAAACTGAAATCATTTCTTTTAGCGTAAAAATTTCATCATTGTCAATTTCTAGATGTAAGTCAAGATGTGAATGTTTAATGGACTCCATCATGTGTTTGTAGACAGTGTTGAAGCATATCTGTAATCTTAACTATATATGTGGTATCCATTATTTCAAGCTCGAAATGACACATTCGTTCAGCATAGTCACCAATCTTTGGATATGTTAGGGAGATGGGATCATCTACATAGCGGAACGTGAATTTAAAGGATAATGCTCGCTTATCTTTAATCTTAATCAGACGTTCCTGTATTAAAGCTGTCTTGTCTTATAAGAATAAAGGAACAAGTCGGTTAATTGAGGTGCACAATTAGTTCCCATATGAGTGACAATTTTGTGTTGAAAAAAAAAGTCCGCCAAAAGTAACACATATCAATGTCAATAAAAAAATCAACCATCTTGGTGTTGTCAGTTTCAACTGACGTTGTTTATCATCTTAACAACGTGTAATATTGTTCTTTCATTTGTCTTTGTTCTATTATTATTTTACTTTTACTGTTTGGTTTGTTTTCTGTGATATCCATTTGACGTGGCTAGGTACTTATACATCCCGTCAATGTGTTTGTATTATCTTTAATTTTTACTGGTGTGTTTTGTATATGCGACTTTTTGTGTTTCTGTGGTTCTTATAACGTGACTCTGTACTTTAAAAGATCCCGTCATTATGTTATTGTTCTATTATATGTCATTATGTTATTGTTCTATTATAAATTTGAAAATACTTTGAACGACAAACGACAAATTTATTTTACTCGCGTAGTGGTATTTACCATATGTGGATTCTTAAGGGTTCTGAAGAACTTCTGGACAATTATAAATCTCGGTCTATTTCTGAAATTAATTCTAACATAACTTTTGATTTTTTAACCCTGTATACCAACATTCCCCATGTGAAATTATAAAATTGTTTTGAATAGACATTGAATGACAAACTTTTTTCTTATGTGACGTTTACATTTTCTGACGTCAGACACGCGAAGCAATGAATGTGGGTCTTAATTTGATAGATGCTTTTGTGTTTTTTTTGTAAATAATTGTTTGTTTTGATATTGTAACACAGTGATGACTGCTGTACCCATATTTTGACTATTTTATTTATAATGTCTGTTTTGTTCACGCATCGTTGTAAATATAACGAAATTTGATAAGACTGTCGTACAAGTGAGAGGTTTAGCGCTATAAAACCAGGTTCAATCCACCATTTTCTACATTTGAAAATGCCTGTACCAAGTCAGGAATATGACAGTTGTTGTCCATTCGTTTGATGTGTTTTGTCATTTGATTTTGCCATGTGATTAGGGACTTTCCGATTGAATTTTCCTCGGAGTTCAGTATTTTTGTGATTTTACTTTTTCAGAGAATTTCTTTTTTAAATTTGAGATTTTCTTGTTTAAATCAGAGTGTATATTTTTTAACATAGTATTAATTATGCATCTTAAATAAGATTTGTTTTATCTACGTTGGCCATCCATTTTCGTCTTATACCTGTCCAATCTTTGCAAATTTGGGTCAGTGCCCATGCATTCTGAGACGTTCTGAAACAAAAATGAAGAAGATAATCTTGCAAAGTATTTAGATTTAAATTTCAGATATACCATAAATTATTTTTTCGTGTGAACCAATTCATAAAATTTGATTTATCCATGAATTCCAGTCTATTTAATTTCGCAATATTTCCGAAAATATCAAAAATCGATAACGAACTAAATATAAACTGATAAATTGGATATTAGTACAAATTGAGCTTATGTCACTATCATTTAGTGCACGTGTTAAGTTGAATATATCAATTTCGAAATTTTTATGACATCAAAGAACTGTCATAACCGGCATTGTTTAAATTATTATCATTATAAAAAGATCGAATATTTTGAAAATATTTTGATATTTAAGGACCAGGAAACGGTTTGAGTGATATAACATGTACATGATATATATTATATATCTAAATAATTATTATTTATTTACATAAATATTAATATAGTATTGTTCAAATATTAAGACAAGGTTAACAATAATTGGTAGAAATATTTTACGTTAGTTATTAAGGATTCCTGTGATGTATTTAGAAGTCTAAACAATGCCGAAAAACGTTCAACTGGATTTTATGTCGATTGGACTAGTGATGATCCCATTATTGATGAAACGTTAGAAGAAGATTGGTATAGAGTTATTAGCGACAATGGTGATGACATGGCAATATCCCCTCCAGGGATGAAATTTTGTGGAACAACGAATCCAATTTGGTTAAATGGTATGCATATTTGTTTTTGGCATAAATAACATGTTTTTTTTTATATTCCGGATTTATCTGTTGACAATACGGCTGTCTTTCTGACGTTTGGTTAATTAATTTTTTCTCTGACGTTTGCTTTTTTCAATTACGATGTTTTTAATTTAACTGGAATTTAGTTAGTTCATGTAGCATCTTTTAATAAAAGTGTAGGTTTAATTTATTACAACTACATCTGTCATCTCATATGTCATATACCAACACCAAAATCCATTCCATTCAAGATTATCAACCAAAAAGAATTGAAGGCCTTTGTGCTCATCATTCCCGTACAACTATAGCCCCTGGTCATGTTATATATCCGGGGACCATTATCTCATAAATAAAGAACATCTAGATAGTTGTTCGTGAAAGGCCCTTAATATCGAAACTTCAACTAGAAGAACCTCAGGTGACCGATGAAAGCAGTTTAAGACTATACCAATATAGATTTGGTGCTATCCAGATGAATCAATTGACTTGACACTATATCTGAATGAATCAAAACATTCATTTATTCGGAGGCTAATTAAAAAGTACGCTGTACCATGTGCACACGAAATTTCAGTCCTTTCAAGAAGCTCAGGGTAGTCGATGCTTTATACTCTCAGAAAAAGTATGTTGATGTTCCGGGATATCATTAGTTGTTATTTATTTGATCCTAAAGTATTTTTTTTCATAATGAGTAGATTATAAACTGCTGTCATTGTGTCTAAACATGCATCATACAGCTTTTTAGCATTGTAATGCAATTTATTTGTAACTATTTATGTACCAGAGAATTCATTTAAAATGACACAATTCTGTCATAAACTTTTAATCACTATTGGAACATTGAAATATACAATTGTTACAACCTATTTTGACAGCTTCACCTCTCTGGTCTCTGACACAACTCATACCTTTCCTTTCATTACAGGGACATTACCTAGCTTTAAAGATGGAAATAAGTCTGCCATAGCTTGTATGCAGACAAACAGCAGTGTGTGCGAACAAACATTTAATATTGTAATACGGAATTGTGACGGTTATTATGTATACTTTCTACCACCAACACCACCAAATTCATCTTATTGCTTCGGTAATGTATCGCCTATAGTTTAGGTTTGTTTCCGTTGTTGTATTCAAACATTTGAAATATTTGATCAGATTTGATGAATCCTATTTATAACGTTCATAACTGTCAGATAACCGTTGATGAATCTTACAATATTTATAAATACACAGTGTTTTCTTGTTGTTGTTGAAACTATGATTCGATTTTATACATTTTAGAGTTAAATTGAGAATAGAAACGGGAATGTGTCCAACAGAAAACAACCCGACAATAGAGCAGAACACAGCAGTTTAAGGCCACCAATGGGTCTTCAACACAGCAAGAAAATCCCGCACCCGGAGGCGGGCTTCACTGGCCCGTAAACAAAAATGTGTACTAGTTCAGTAAAAATGGACGCCACACTAAACTCAGAAACATATATATGTACTAAAATTAAAACAAAAATATATAAGACTAACAAAGGCCAGAGGCTCCTGACTTAGGATAGGCGCAAACATGCGGCGGGGTTTAACATGTTTTGTGAGATCTCAGCCCTCCCCTTTACTACTTGCCAATGTAGAATAAACAAACACACAGCAATACGCACAATAAAACTTAGTTTAAAAAAATCTCCGAGTCTCATGTCAGATAAGGTAACAGAAGAAACTAAGCAAAATGAAAATGATATATAAATTAAAAAAGGACTACTAGCAGTTACTGAAATGCCAGCGCCAGATCTGTATTAAACTGATTTAAAGATTATGTCTTCATCATATGAAAGTCAAGCACATTCCCTCTCGTTAGGGTTTTAGTATTATACCATCATTAAATATATGAGAAGAATATAACCCGTATCATGTGAACAACTGGTTTTAGAATAAATGTGTTTATTTCCGATGCAAAACCGTATGAGTGAAACGATAAGTTCCAAAAATTCCATCTTAAATGACCGGACAACAGTATCGTAACTTTATCCCTTCTGATTAAGTCTGTTTAAAGGTTTTGTTAGCTTTTGAGATGAATGAAGACATGTTTGTGCTTTGTATAGAATATTACCATTAAAGATTGGATGTGAGATATCTGAACGTATAAGATATCTGCTTGTTGATGTTTATTTACGAATGGTGTCCTCGTACCGATAATAAAATTTAGTAAATGTTTTGACTGGTTTGTGATATCGAAAACCATGGTGTAAATTAATAATATTTCAGTAATACAGAGAACACATTCGTAAAAATCAAATACGTTGTTACATACACGAGCGAATCGAACAGGTTGAGGTATATAAACACCATAAGATGGTGACAAGGGAACGTCACCATCTAAGATGGATGATTAGCGATAGGAAATGAAAAATCATCTCTTTTATCGTAAAGTGTGGTATTGTTTCATGCTAATGTATAGATATCAAGATACAGGAAAGTGCAGTGTTCATTGTTAGTATATCTTTATTTAAAGTCAGTTCAGCAGGATAAATCTCTTTAGTGTACACATTGAAATTCTCATTATTGAGTGAGTGTATGCTCTACAGTTATGTCTCACTAATCGTTAATATATTGAACAATATGAAACATGACTTGGCGCTTTATCCGAAATTCACAAAATGTTCATGGAACGTTTTGTTTCATGATAAAAAGCTCTCTAAAGACAATATGTGTTGTTCATTTCAACGATTTTGAAATTGAATTCCAGATTAAATAATCTTATTTGTCAAATGTAACTATTCTTTGTTGTTTTTGTGCAAAGAAAGTTAATGTGCTTCACTCTTGAAATGTTTAAACAGTCTAAACAATTCGTTATCATTTTACTTTATTTAGACTAGGACGATCTGGAGTAATAATACTGTATTGCGTGGATAATCCGGACCAGCAAAGCATGTGGTCACCAAACAGCTGTTTACTGTATTCGAAATTTTTCATATTTGTAATGAGCTTTTACTTGTTCGATTTTATTAGGCGCGTTATATTGTCATTACTTATAATTTATTTGAAGTATGTTTTGCATCCTGACACATATTCAAGTATTTTGCGAAATGAAATTATCATTTTTCGTTACAGGAAGTGGCCCAGTAAAATGTCCAACTGATATGTCTTCAGAAACTGAATATTTTCCAGGTTGTAGTTGTAAGTTTTGGCAAACATATTTCTTTTTTCTTTTGTTACAGTCTCTTTGTATGAGGGATTTTGAACCTAAGTCTCCTAATAATTTCTTAATCTATCAACGAAAAAGTTTACAAAAATTTTGTAATGAATCATGTCATTATCGAATAACTGACTACTGTGTTAATGATACCATTGGGAACTAACAGTCCACCAGCAGAGGTATCGACCAAGTACTAGTAAATGAAATTAACTAATAATTTCGTACGTCTGAAGCGCTGTTTTCTGCAAAAGTTCTGATACTTATCTTTAAATCATTCAAAACAGTAAGTATTAATATATAGAAAATGTCGTATGATTGCCATAATAACAATTATCCATCAAAGACCTAAGGTCAAATACCTGAAAAATTAGATAATCTTATGGCATTTTATAATAAGCTACACCCAAAAATCTCGGGATGACAATGTTTAAAACGTTTTAAGAAGAAAAAGATGCTAGAAAAAATGAACGAAAAGCAAAATTATTTACGCAGACGAAGCCTGCCTTAATCGAGCGAGGCACAAGTATTGCTAAGTTTTATGTGTCCAATATTCTTCAAAGGTACTTAAGTTTCCCACTCTTTGAAGTTAAAGTTGAACACAAACCATTATCGATATTGCAAAATATTATCAGAGATACTATTCTATGATTTTAAACATTTCATTTGAATTAGGAGAAGGCGATCTAAGTTGGACAAACTTGTGTCCTATTTGTGATATTTTTGCGAAAATATGGGCACGATCTGAGAGTGTATTCGAAGATATTTTGTAATTCAAATTAAATAAGAGAAAAAACAGCTGATTTTCATATTTTGTTAAATATTGATTTTGCAGAAGATATCAACCCTCACAATATACTGTTTTCCAAATAAGTTCACCTCTGAAAATAAATGGTTATGCGTGACCAACATTTCAACATTGTCTTCAATATCTAGGCTTGGAACTTAAATTCTTAACTATGCTAGAAAAACACATACCGCTGAAACGAATAAACTATGATATTCACCAATACTCGTTGCAAATGTTCTCTCTGTTATATATGTGAAAATTTACAATGAATTATATCAATCTGTTGACTATAATTCAAACCACTGCAATATTTCATTTAGCAAACTTTCCAAATGACATGATATCGGTGGAGGTGAAAGCTGTTTTAATAGAAGGTGAAAGCTTTAAAATAGGGAATTATGACCCAACACCGAGTTTGATACCAATTTTTAAATGCGAATTTGAAGACAAATCAAACGGAACTTATGGTTATGATGTTTATTGGTATATATGTGCAAACACAGTAAAGAATAACACAAACTTGCTATTCAAAGACATTGATGAGGCTGTTGTATTACGCGAGGCTGACTGGATTGGTAAATACAGGATGAACATGGAGGTAGAGTTTTGTAGATTTCTAGACATTAGATACATATATTTATTTATAAAGTAAACGCATGCAAATCTCTCTTCAATAAAGAGGTACATACATCTTATTCATTTAAAAAAAGAAGTATACATTTCGTGATAACTTCATTTTCCAGACCCTCCATTTAAAATAAAGAAAAGAATTATCAGAGAAAATAAAGTTCTTATAAATAACTTAAACGGTGTTAAACTTCCTGTTCCCGATGGTTTTTCCCCTATAAGTTTGATAGAAGTCAATTTGATATTGTTAAACCTCTTACATTGTAATTGAATATATCATTACAGCTTACCTTGGTTCCATGTTTATGATACATATATTATTTCGCTACAGTTTTTAGGGAAAGTGGAGCTGTCATGATGGTGTTAATAAGGAACTTATTCCACTGAATAATTAGAGGGACTATTTTGTTCGATTATTTTTTATTTACATGACAGATTATCATTTATTATCTAAATTTCAATCTGGAGATTTTCAACCAGATGTTAGTACAATCAATCAATAAACAGAAATTTAGATTTCTATAATTTCCAATGTTCATGTTGGCATGATTGTATATTATATAAATTGAAAAGCCTTTGTATTCATAGTAATTTGATTTACTGGTTTAAAGATTACCTCTCTGACAGATGCCCGAAGGCTCTTTCGTATAAATTTATTAAAAAAGGGCATCAGTACAATGGTATCCTAGGACTCTGTACTCAGTTCCTTCCTTTTGTTTCTACTTATATTAACGCCAATGTGGAAAATATGAGAAATCATGTTAAATCATTAGCAGATGACACCTAGTTTTATGCCATTTTTGATGATGATAACGATACTGTTGCTAATTCATAAACTGATGCTCATGGGAGGACAAAGATATTTGGTGAAAATCGGTCAATTACTTTTATACAAAATCAGATCAAAGTCAATATCAGCTAGGTATTAATTTTGAGAGTAATTCTAATATAAAATTACATGTAAGTGCAATTTATAGAAACATTTATTTAAAACTAGTTAAATATTGGAATGAAACGCACTTATTACAATTTATGTTTTGCGTCATTCTAGAATATATTAACATTTTATGGTATAATTGGGTTTTACAAGAAACTAATTTATATGAAAATATTAAAAATAAACAAGCATTATTCCTAGGTAGTTTTTGCTTGATACCAGAAGCAAAATGCTTTATATCTACAAAATCAACTATTATTTCAACAGATTAAGTGTGCCGTACGAATGAGAAACTCAAGACACTCAACACCCGGACCATATCTAGATAGTCCTGTTTTTAGAGCTGGGTTGTTTGTAAGCTTTCTTTAATTCATTTTGGTTTCAATCTACAGAAAATATCGGAAGGATATGGTTAAATGAAATAAAGAAAAAGAAAAAAAAAAGAAAAAAGAAAAACACAAAATACAAAAGAACTGTATGGTTAATGTATCATTTAAATGAAATAATTTCAACTTGGATATTCTCTCATCCCGAGTATACAGTTACCAAGTTTTGTTTAAATTAATGTTGTTTTTATACTTTTTATGATTATTTAATAGAAAATGACTATTGTTTTCACTGTTATTTTGATTTAAATTATTTGTTTCAATAATTAAGAATAATAATTTTTTTTACCAAAACTTTTTTAAAAAGGAAACATACAAATGGTTGGTGCCTTTTATAGCACATTTATAGTTACCTTCAAAATACTGTCGTATCCATTGTTTAACTTAAAATAAGTTTTTTTTATGATTTGTTATAGAATAGAACATTTACATACCTTTTGATAAAATCACTCAGGTAGTCTCGGTGCTCGACTCTATAGTGGTTACGGGTGCAATATTCAGTTGGGTCAAACGAAGAACGTAAGAATTGGTATTTGCTACTTTTCCGACAACCATGTTGCACTCAGAAGAAGGACCAAAGACTGGTCGTCTCGGAGTCTGAAAAATTAGTCTTAGAAGAGTAATTTGTCTTCAGGACGGTTTTATTTAGAACTAACACGTTAATGTCAGGCTTTGCGCGTCGGTCTAGTATAAAGTTCATATTATATCACATTTACATATTCTCGTCCTGAAAGTACATTTAAATGGCTACTGTACATTACAGTAACCAATCTATTCTGTTTGATAAATATTATATAATTTACTGAAATATTTGACAACAAACATACTTTTTATAACTTTTCGTTTATCAATGTAAATACTTTGTATCTGATATATTTGATTTTAGCCAAGTACCAATAGTTATTATTACACAGTGAATGAAGGGGAATCAATAAACATTACATTTATGTCAACAGTTCCGGTTGGATGTATTGCATCACATAATGTAATAAGATCTCAATGTGACCAGAACTTCTACATATTTCGACCGAGTTATTACACATATGGATCATCTTGCACTAATAATGTTCTGAAAAGAGATATCTTATTCAATGCTGAATTCTGTGGATTCAGACTTGGGAATCTCGACTGGATGGACAAGAAAACATTGGAGGTGTATGGATATAATGACGGGCTCTACAATGTAAACAACAGATATGCATACATCAAACTGTCAACATCATCAATTTCAGCATATAACAATATTTGGAAAGATGTTGATATATATCAAATAAGGGTATTTACCTTTAACTAGTATTTTGTTATCTTTAAATAACTTCACAGATTATATCTACAGAAATTCACTGTTTTGAGTACAAAAAATTATATAAGAAATCAAAGTATTTACTTATATTGATATATAGATTTAGTTTGTGTTAAGACGATCGATGGCAGAAATTTGACAAGGAGTGACAGCTTCAATAACATGAATAAAAAAAGTTAGGCAATTCGAAACAAGATTTTGCGAATTGATTAAGAAATGACATCACTAATGCAAATTGAAAAAGACTAAAAACCACATGCTTAACACGACACAGATTACTTAATCAATTACTGATTTTTTTCATTTTTTTAAAAAAATGGGTGCTTAACTATAAGTTTTGTGCTTCGGACACATGAAACTATCAAACGTGTTGTTTTCATAATTTTCTCCTTGATATTAGTTTTTCATTTGCGTTGTTTTTGTATTACTCCTAGACTACACATTTTGTTATTTAATACATTTGATAGATATTGCCTCTGTTTGTACAACATATGCAAAATAGATCTACTCCACTGATAAGGAATATTCATATCTGTATTGCATAGCATATTAATTAACAAATTTTGTATATCTATACACTTGTGTGCGTTCGTGAATTTCAGTCATTAACATATCTTATCAGCCACCAAAATACTATTTAACAAGTACGACCAGTTAAACCATGCAGGAATTTCGTTTTTCATCAGGCAGTGCGATTCGCACAATAACACCAGTAAATTACATTTAAAAAAGCTAAAACGTTAGCAACGTCATAATGTTTTCATTGTATGAAATAAATATATATTAATGTGTGTGGAAGGCTATGTTTTCTGAGATTATAATAATAGTTTGAATATTAGTAAACGTAAAGTACTTTGTAGGTAGAAGTCAGGGACAAGGATTCTACTTTGAAAAACAGGCTCTGCCAGTCGTACAACGATCCACATTTTAGGACATTTGATGGAAAATACTATGACTACATGGGAGTCGGGGAATTTGTTATGTACAAAAATGACATTGGTCCATTTTATGTAGGTACTAATTAACACTTGCACTATTTATAAGCATGGTTTACACAAAAGACCATTGAAACTGTATTATTTCACTTATGATTTATTTTTGAAACAGCACTTACGACAACGTGCTAAAGGTTTGATATCGAAAAAGATGCTATGTTTTAATTTGAGTGACAAATATCGTCTAATATTTAAAAATTCTGAGTTATTTTTTTATATTGATCAGTTATATTTTCTTTGTTGTGCTCATTTCTTTGTTCTTATGTTATTTTTGAAAATCGTTAAGTGAACAGAAAGGGTGATAATGAATTCAATATATCTTGTACACACGTACTTTCATAATGAACTGTCTATTTGTTGTCCAAGAATGTTAATTCGACTTATAATCTTAATTCTTGAAATGTACGCAAAGTCATATCTTAATATCAATGCTAGCATAAAGTCTTTCAATTTTAAGTTTAATGCCGAAACAAGGTAATTAGTTTCGATCGTTTTGTTTTAACGTTCCCATAAATTGTTGTTTTAAAGAAACAATGTGTGCAGTTATTGTTTTCATTTTTTCTAAGATATTTAGCATAATTGTTAAACACCACGTGATTGTTGTGTCAGAACAAGAACCCTCGCATCTGATAAATAATCAAACAATATTTTAGCATGGTATTTTAATGAGCTTACAGTAAAGATGTTTGATTTTGCCATAGATACAAAAGTATGCCTTTCCGTTTCAGGTCCATGCATTATTTACAAGTTGTGGTTCTGGCTTGCCCGGTACTTCTTGTCTTTGTGGAATAGCGATAAGGAGCAAAAACTCACTGTTTGTTCTACGCACTTGTGAGAGGATTTCAAGGAAAGAATTACATTTGCTTCAGCAACCTGTTGTCACGCTGACGTCATGTGACAAAAGTGATATGTCAATAAGTAACACGAACAACAACTACAAGGTTTATACGGCTTTATAATTTAAAATCATGGATACGTTGTATGAATTGACATATTTAAAAGGTCGAGAACATAATAAGAGGATGCAAATATGTTTTCTGTTTTCCATCTATTAAACCTAAATACAGAATGTAAATCTTTCATATCAGCCAAAGGTGTAAAAATGCGAAGATCTCATCCGGGCATTATGCTGACTCAGGGTTAACACAAATCTCCTCTAACTACTAAATGCAGCATACTCAGTTTGGAAGCAACTTACACTTTTCTGCTCGCTTTTATTTCTGTTAGATAATAAACAAAAAATTAAGCTTGTTTACAGTATCTGATTTTCCCCTGTATTAATAATTTTATTGTTCTGCTACATACACTGCCGTGTATACAATTTACACATTCGTTGAAAACGAACATCACATAAAACTAAAATTAACATCTTTCGATTAGGAAATAATTCATGGGGGCTTGAATTTATACTGATTTTACAACGGGTTGGTCCTTTATGCTAAATATTTTACCAAGAGCGATAGCGATTAAAAATACCACAATAGATTTGTTACATAATGGTTTTGGTGATATTTAAAAGACAGCCAAAAATGATAACATCATACAAATTAGATAGGAAAAAATGTATAACAATATAGGCATTGAAATTATAATTTTTATAAATTATCAGAAAAATTTTTGCCTCCCGCCGCATTTTTTCTTCAGTTATAGAAAAGGAATTTAGTTCCAAAATGATTTAGAAATTTTAAACAGCCTTACGCATTAGAACTGTTATATCAGTTTTAAAAAATGCGAGCTACTACTACTGTTGTGTAACAAAGGCTGAACAATATACAATTGAATCTCCAGTGCCTCAAAATGAATCGTACTAGACGTTTCAACTTATCAGAAACCATGTAAGCAAATGCAGCAATAACAAAATCTCAATTTTTAATTCAGATAATCTTACCAATTGCAACAGAAATACAATTCTCAATAGCTAGGCGATTCATAAGTGTGATTTCAATCAAACCCTCTGTAAAGGACATACATACGGCAAAGGGTCTATGTGGAGTTCCTAGTACAACAAAAGATCCTTCAGATGACATCACACATCGTGAACTTGGACCAATCAGTGATGAACAAATATTTGCAGATTCCTGGAGGTAATAACTTCAAAATATTACATTTCACTATACTTTTTTCAAGAGGATCCCGTTGGTGTGTAACATTCTGGAAAAAAACCCATTAATATCTTATTTAAATTATGAAAATTATGAAGGTCATATATAGCTTCTTAAACATAATGTATATACACAGAAGAGATTTGACGTTAATGTTTCTGATATAAAATCCCAATATGCACCCAAAAAGAACTTTACTTCAAATATATTGCTGTTCGTAGTCTAGAGAGTCGTTCAAAGGTATTCAATGAGTAAAATTTGTTTAAGGTTCCATGTCTTTTATTTATTCACATATAAATTTTATATTTCATTGGTGACTAATGAACAGTTTTCAATAAACATATGTCGTGTGCATAGAAATTACTATGGTATGTTTATATTGATAGCAACATGTGCAAAAAGCCCAATGTCACGATGTACAAACAAATCTCTCTGAGTAAGGTATGAGTATCAATTTCAAGTAATAATTTAAAATTAAAAAAAAAATTATTATTTAAAAAAAATTGTTATAGGATAACCAAAGGTATGGTTGAGGAGCAGCTATTTGTTGAAGAACCAACATTCCTAAAGAAAGACAACGATGTTTATGAACAGAATGTTGTTGTTGACAACAATGAGAACAATCCTGACTTAAGAACATTTTGCGCATGTGAAGAACAAGCTGGCAGTACCGACTCACTAGATGACTTTAACAGCGTACATTGTAATTTGACAGATAGCACTGAGCAATGTTCAGACTCATCAAGTTCATCCGGCTCATATGTTCAATATACGTCTTGCTTACAGCCTTTACGTAGAAGACGATCAGTAAATGTTCCTCATAGAATAAGCAAACGAAGTTTAAATAATAATGATGACAAGGTAGATTTCCAGCCGTTAACATACAGTGATGACGTAAATGAGACAGAGATTGAGGTAATTTTAGTTGCAGACTTAGCCTTTTTGCATTTCTATGAAAAAACAATATAAGAGAAATAATAAAAATGATAAATTACAACCAAACAGTACAGAGATTTTACCGCTGTACTAACTCGGCTGTTTTGGAAATGTTTGAAAATGTTTAAATTTAGAGTAAGAAAACACATTTCCCCATAGATTAGAAACAACAACATAACATTGCTAATATGTATACTTCTTTCTTTTACAGCCACCAGCAACTTTTCGAAACGGTTGGACGTCAGACAGAGCATATAACATATGTTTCAACAGCATACACGACGCGTTACAAAATGATATGTACAAGGATTATGTTGATGTACCTGTCGAAAAGTTCATAGAAGCGTGTGTAAAGGATATAGAAGTATAAATCTTTTTTTATTAAAAAAAACGTGGATACGAAGGACACAAACCTTTTCTTATCACAAGGAAAAACATTTTGCACTGAAAATCTTACCGGATCTGAATAAGTTAAATACAAAAAAATATCAGACAATACTTACTATTACAAACTCGGTTTTATTTATGCGTTTAGTACCTTTCCTAATACACGCAACATATTAGGTGATACATGTAGAAAATTTTCGGAAAAATTGACAAACAGATTCAATGGACTGCTGAGAAAATTGTTAATACAGTGATTTTTTTTTCGAACTTTCCGTAATGAAAACATAGAACTTAAAATTAAATCAGATTTAATGCTTGGTTATTTCCGATCCCTTTTGTATGCAGATGGCATCATGTTCACCCGACCTCATTAACGAATAAACCCTCCGAGAAGATTTGTGAATATAATCAGTCTTAGTCGTATTCTGTCTTTTTGTTATATTTTTTTCGTTGATGGTTTTGTCATAGCTCAGATTGTTGCGTTTTTATTTGAATCGTTCAACATTTTGTGATGTCGAGGCCTCTTATAGCTGACGAAACGGTATTGGTCTTACTCATTGTTGAAGGCTGAACGGTGATCTACAGTTGTTAGAGTCCGCCTAATTTTGACAGTTGTTCCATTACCAATCATTCCACATCTCCTTATTTTGTATGTTTTAAATATATGTATGAAAAAGGGAATCTCCATTGTGTTTTACCTGAGATAAGATATATAACTAATTATGTTTGACTGTTTTCAGTCTTTGTTTGCTTCATGTTAGAAACACACATTTCAGGCTATTTGATATGGTACTTACAACATATAGGTTTAAGATGTCCTAATAATATGGTGGTCATCTCGTTAATTTCAAGGCATATCTTTGTTTTAATACCTACAGGTTGCAGGCGATACAACGTTTCTTACAGACACAATAAATGCCATGGTAACTAGCATAATGACTGAGCTAGTGAAAACTGAATATCTGTACACCCAAAAATCTAGCGATGGATCACAAACGATGTTAGATTATTTTGCTAGTGCATTATGTCTAAACAACTGCAGTGATAACGGAATTTGTAAATCGGGTAATGACATTTTATTGTTGAAAGAAAGTAATCAAGATTCTATAATTTAAAAATCATTCAGTATGTCAAATAAAAACACACATTTAATTAATTAAGGCGAATTTAAACCTAGAGCTTAAAAGGTACTCTGGATAAAAAAAAACCAGTAAGTTAAAAGGCAATGAAATTTGTTCTACTTTTCACAGTAAGCGCTGTAACGGGAACTCATTAAAGATACCAGGCTTATAATTTTGTACTCCAGACGCGCGTTTCGTCTGATATAGACTCGTCAATGACGCTCGAATAAAAAAAAATTTAAAGGTATACATAAGATAATGTTAAAGATTAAGATAAACGTTCCAATTTAACAATATGTAGAGGATGAAAAGTGAATACAGCTCAAATTTAAGTTAAATATCCGTTAAAATATTTTGCAAACATTGTTGAATAGATCTCAAAGCTTTTCAAATTCCATTTGTTTATTGACCAATTGTTTTAATCGTGTTTTGCACTCACAATTTCAGGTGTTTGCATTTGTGACAACGGACATGTGGGTGAGGATTGCTCTTATAACACTTCATCACCACCGACTGGTATCAGTCTTCCCTTTAATGGTGCTTGTACACTAACAACTCGTTCATGTAAAGCAATGAATATATTTGGAGAATTTAAAACTACCTCTGTATGGTGTAAGCGGAGACATTTTCAGGTAAGGTGTTACATAAATGTTCATATGCGTAATTTGCTAATCAAACTTTGTGTTTTAAATTTTGAATCAATAAAACGTTTAGAAACTTTACAATCTAAAAACCGATATGCATAATTCCGTGTTCAACATTTGATATACAACTTTCACCCCTAGTTTTGTTTGAAAGTGGTTTTTGTTGTGTTGCTCTTTCTTTAGTATTTAGTGCTGTTCTTTGTGCTTTTTATTGTTTTGAATGTCTGTGATGTTTATACTGGTAGCAGTCCTGTCTATCATTTGTCACGAAAAACTTGTTTCAATTTCGAAACTTCACATTCGTTTAAGTGTCAGGGTTAGAATATTTACATGACAGATGGTTTATGAATTTGGAGATAGGGTCTTAGGGTAAGATAAGAGTCAATTACCAATCCGCTATTGCGTAATGCCTAATCACTTGATTTAATTTAACAACATATTTTATAGGAGTTATTCCATAAAAGTCAATAAACTCGTGATGGCGTCCGTAAAATTTTCGAAGGGATGATTTCAACTTCACTACTTGGAGCCATCCATGTAATAAAATGTTTTATTAATATGAGCAATTAATTATAAATGAAAAAGAGAAAACGCATATAGATATATGTGATAAACGATTCAACAGGGCTAAACAAGATGACTGAATGCCTAAAGTAAATACATAAGAAACAATTAAAAAATTATACCACTGATGTCTGGTTGAGTCTAGTGTAGATATCATAGTTTCCAGTATAAAATATTCTATACCGAAATAGTTATTGCATTTATAAATTTCAATATCAATATCTCACAATGAGGATGATTTGCAGTGTTTGAAATTGAAATATAGAAGATGCAATTAAAAGAATACAATTATTGATATTTACAAGGCGTTTGTCTTACATTGTCATAATCTATTTTTGATGAATATTTTGTTTTCGAATTCAAGCAGTAAAATGATGATTTTATAAATTTTCCATATTTCGGACATCAAAAATCTTTTTTTCGAACACAACTCTTGCATATCCCGCGTTAATCGGCAGTGCCTATGTTTATTATAAAAAAAAACAGATCTGGAGTTTGTGTTCAGTTCATGAGGTAGCATCCCTGATAACACGAAGAAAATTATTGATATTGAGCTTAACACTTTTTCAACTAACCAACTAACGACTGAATTCTTTTTACATTTGGAATGACTCTAATATTTACAGATTTTAGAAAATGATCTTGTGTACACACCAAGCGAAGAACTTGTTTTAGCTGAATACAGAAACCCATTCATGTTAACTCTAGATCTTCCGACGTCAAGGAAGAAACGATCAGCGGACAACAAAGTTCTGTCAGAGGGTTATGACATTAGCTTTTCATATGATGGCCAGAATTTTGGGAAGGAAACCAGTATCATCATTTACGATGATCTCAAGTATTCATGTAATACGACGGCAAAAACGTGCATATCGTTGGTATGTAAATGTTTTTGTTGTCGCTGTTTTATTTATTGCACTTTATTCACGGGTGTTTCTCTTTTGCTTTATTAACATAAGAATCAAAGAAAGTTAAGAAATACAAGAATATATATACATGAACTAGTAAACCATTGTACTCAAATTTGGTTATACTATAGAAAATATTGAATGAAAAGGAAATTTTAATCACCAAAAAACTAAACAAAAGTTATATCTCTAGTATTTCATCTATAAATCACCTTTATCTAGACGATGACCAAAATCTTACACAAACGCCATGTTTTAATAGACCAACTATGATTTAAATCAACGAAAAAACTAAAGATAAAAAGCAACAATTTAAATTTAAAAAAAAGAAAACAAAACCATTTAGCTATTATATCTGCAGAACAGACGACGTCTGCACAGCAATAAAATAGCGATATGTAAAAGTGTAGCAAATACTCATTTGATTACAAAAAAAAGTGGTTTTTTTTGAAATTATAGATGTAAACGACTGCCTTTCTATGGTATATTGACAACATTATTAACAACATACCTTCGTATTATTTTAATTGCTATTTTAATATTAATACTTAGTACCGACAACAAAGAAACTCATTCATATTATTTAGGATATACTTTCACAAACTGATAATTATGTTGTGACGATACATAGACGGTACCGGCATCATTGCTGCAACATATTCGAGGCTAAAAGTGTAACTCACAAATATGAGTTCATTCACTCGATTTTATTATTCAAAACAAGAATAAAATCATCTCTGACATATCATGTTCAATATGGTTTGCCACAGAAACCTGTATCATTATTTTTATCAGCGAATAATCACAACTATATAACAACATTAAACAATATCATTATTTCTCTGTCTTATATAAACTACTAAATGAAGGAGTTCCAACTCCATGTGAAAAAAAAAACTAATCCAAGTTGTCTTTAATGTCATTAAATTTTGTTTTCTTGGTTCCAATATATAACTATTTGTTTTAATTTTTTCCCCTTTTTACGTCTGAAAATTGTATTTGCGTGTAGTTTTTATTTTTTCATAGCAAATTTGAAAGCATATAATAACGAAAATCTATTTTCAGATTGTGGACGAATCAGCAGAAACCAAAAAAGGTAAATGCCTTTATACTTTTTTACATTCTACAGATAATGTTTATCTCTCTATCATGTATTGTATAGCTTTATACATATCAAAAAATGAAGCGATTAATAATTACTTTTAAATGTAATTTAAAATGTACGAATTTACGAAATATAATTATGATTAAGCAATGCGTATTACATAATCACATGAAATAAAAAAAAATAATGACAATGATTTCTCTGAGAATATTTTTTAAAATTTCTTTTCAAAAGTACATCTAGCTACTTTTTTCATAAATAAATCGTACTCTGGTTCAGATGTTTAATGTATACAAACTAAGTATTGCATAATAGAGAATCATCATAGTTCATCTATGGCCTTTAAGTTGTTGATTTATTACTAAAATGGATTAAAAACTAAATCATAAGATCTTTACATTCATGAATAGCAAAAAAACATTTATAGTGAAATACCTCCCTAAAATTTTCTATTCACGACTAGTTCTCGTCAAATTTGTATTTAGTGTGCATCTTGAAAGATATTTTGAAGTGCAAGTTATTCCCCTCTGTAATGATATCAATGATTTTTCTCTATATGTTGTTCATGAATGCTATAATGCTGCTATTATATTTTATAGATGTCATAATGATTGTGGTCCCAGTTACAGTATCAGTGGTCGTTATCATTGCGATAACAGGTGTAATTTGTTTCAAGTTGATAACCAAAGCTTCAAAGTAAGTGATCAATAACATTAACGGTACCAATTATCTGCACCTGATTTGCATTTCGACAATAACTGTCTCTTCAGTGATTCGCGAGGCCAAAAGATTTGAAAATCCAAAGCTTATTTAAAAGACGAAGAGCTATAATGCGAAAAGGATCAAATGAATAATCAGAAATATCAAATATTCATATATAGAAACTTATTCCATATTTTAGTTGACATTTCTAAACATTATGCGTATAGACTGTACAATTTGATCAGTCAAAGTATCAAAACCTATTAGTTATTTTCAAAAGAATGCGAGACACAAAGCCGAGGAGAGACCAAAAGATCACATGACTCACAATAATATTGCAAAAATTTCAAACGGGTAACATCATAGATACCGAAAGGAAATACTTAATAGTGAAGAATCGGAATTATTTATTAAAAGAGACTTATGAGGGTGTCTTATAATAAGAAGGTTATCCCTGTACTATATCTATATTAAGAGCACTTGAAAGCGATTAGGGTAAAACTTAATTGAAATGTTGTTGGAATTGGTCTTTATTGTACCATGGGTTTGAATTGTATTATTTTTAGCATCTCACATGACTGCTAGTCAAATAAAAAAGCCCACACAAGCGACATAATTTATACTTTACTTTAGCAACTGACGTATTTCGAACACAAATAGTGTATTTGCAATTTTTTAATTGAGATCTGTTCTAACATCTGAATCTTCCATCGCCTTTTAGAAATGCATAATCATATGATTCTTACAACAAGTATACAGTATGTATAAGTTGCTTTGCTTGTTTTTTTTTTCTTTCGTCATTAAAGCATATACACATGTTTACATTTTCACTGAAATGATGTACTTCTGAAATGGCTCTTTACAGAGCCAAAATTGCTTCATATGGAGATGAATCAGATCAAAAGTCCACGTCGTCTGACAAATGGACAAGAAGAGAAAATACTGTCAGCGAACTTGAATTAAATTTTGAAGATAAGACAGGCAAAGATGCTTTTGCAATGCAGTATCCTCCTCGAAAAGAGAATATTGATGTGTGGAACGACTTCTAAACAGCGAGTTCTCTGCCGTACTATAGTCATCATATGATATTTTATGTACCTTTATACATTTAATTTTTTTTTATATCTTTGATTCTTTGTAACTTTGATTTTTTTTGCAAGCTGTTATGACATGTTATTCTATCACGTCTTGTATATGCTGTGCAAAGTATGTGTATACGTTACAATCGGCAGTTATGTAACTTTTTATGATTACATTATAATCGTCGAAAAAGTAATGAAACGTAAGGACAAATATCATCCATCAGTTTTCTAGCCAAAGATCGGTGGTTATCTCTGGCTTCCTCCATCAATAATAACAGGCTACCATGATATAGTCAAAAATATCAACAAGCAATCAATCAAAATCTAAAAACTCAAATAAATTCAATGGACATAAATAAAGGTAACAGTAGTATACCGCTGTTCAATAGTCATAAATCGATTTAACTGAAACAAATCCGGGTAAAACGTAGTTTTACGTATTGCTATTGCACAGACATATTTCGTTGTAACATTTCCAAAGCTTGTCTTAAAAAAAACCGATTTCTTCACAGCTGAAATATTATAGTGTGTGTGCCTCTAAAATAAAAGTTACATTTGCAGTTAATATATTTTATAAATCAACATTAGTATAACATCATCTGTCTCATAAAATATACAGAACGGTTTGCCGCATTGATCTATTTCCTGAGATTTTTTAACCGAATAGTTGCAACAGTAAAATTGCGCATACCACTACGTCAAATATTTAGCTGAATATTTTCTATCTGTATAATCCCAATATACCTTTTCATGCAATAAGTTTGTTTTGTTAGATTAAACTGTAAAGTGCATAAAAAAGATGAAACAAAGTGACTAATCATACTTGCTATATTTTAACAAACCAGCTGGTATAGGCTACCAGATTAATTGTGATTTCAGCTGAGCAAGCTGTGATAGGTTTGCATTCTGTAAATGAAAGCTGTTTCTAATGGAACGGTTTTGATGACATATCAATACTTCGTGTTCTATTTGCTATGAATTATCATCAGGAATGTCAGAACATATGGGAAAACTTAATTGTGCATAATGATACAATTGTCTTATATATACTACGTTGTTTTAACATAACAAAATTCAGTGTTTGAATGGATTAAATGTAAACATGGTTTGATTCTACTGAATGCAGGTAAATTGGTTAAAGGAATTTGATTTGTTTGAATGAAATATCTTTTTGAATATGGTGTTTATTTTATGTAAAAAGTTCATTTCATACTATTTGTTTAACGTCATAATCAATAAATAGATATAAGAAGATGTGGTATGAGTGCCAATGAGACAACTCTCCGTCCAAGTAAAAATTTATAAAAGTAAACCATTATAGGTCACAGTACGGTCTTCAACACGGAGCCTTGGCTGACACCGAACAGTAAGCTATAAAGGGCCCAAAAAAATTACTAGTGTAAAACCATTCAAACGGGAAAACCAACGGTCTAATCTATATAAAAAACGAGAAACTAGAAATACTTATGAACCACATCAACAAACGACAACTACTGAATATCAGATTCCTGACTTAGGACAGGTGCAAACAAATGCAGCGGGTTTAAACGTTTTAATGGTACCAAACCTTCACCCTTTTTCCTGAAACAATAGTGTAACATCACAACATAGAAAGACAGACTATAAAATATCACCTGAAATAGCTTAACTCAATCAAAGGACATATTAACACCATTGAACATACACTGAACAAATAAATTTGACCTATGACACAATGTAAATACAAAATAAATAAACTAAGGGTAGAATAATAAAAGTAACATGTTATATCGGTAAGAAATGTTAAACAATTAAAGAAAAACAATAAAGCTTGTTTCAATAACTGAAAAATGTATGGTGTATGGGGTAAATAATTTTGGTAGACAGCTCTTCTTTATTATGTGAATAGCCTAACGTAAAACGTAGTCAGCGTAAACAAGTATAACAAACACACCGAACTCCTAGCAAATTCTAACAGGGGAAGACCTTACAAACTGACACAATCAAACACTATATATATCAATCAACGGAACAAGGGGAAAATAACTGCCATATTGCTGACTTGGTACAGACGTTTTCTAAGGAAAATACAACATAGCTTTAACCTATTTTAAATAGTATCTTGAAATACGGTGTAAAAACAAAAAAAGACTTTTGAAATTTTTCTTTTTTTTTCTTTTTTGAACCTGAAAATGTTTACATAATATACCGAAAAATAAAATTAAAGTATTTGTTTTTATTGTAATTTGACAATTGAATGATCATTTGTGACTTTCATAAACTAAAAACTTCCTTCATTTTACGAAAACGTTACAAACTGTCACTGGTATACAACCAATTGTTCTATCGGGCAAAGGTTAATTTCCCATGGTGTTTGCAATAATGTTGTTCATATAATGACATTGTCAAAAATTTAAGACACTCTTTTTCAATATGAAAAGGAAACGTACTTCATAATCTTGTTTGTGGACTACAGATCAAAAATAGTATTGATTTCAACAAAGTTCTGAGTGTGTAATTGTGTCATTATTTCGTGTGTTCTGTACATGTATTGTAATAAAAAAGTGAAAAGTCAATTGAGATGACTGTTGTAATCAGGGTAGGCCGTCAAAATATTTTGTTTGAATTAGACTAAAGAATGCTGAGTCAATTTAAATTTATATCTCTTATGACAAAGTAGATTATTTACCTATACTTCCTAATTGAAATTACATTTGATAATTATTTAGATCCTTGGATGTCACAATAAATCGACAAAATAATCTGACTGTATAATGATTAATTTTGAAAAATGAAAATTTGTTGTTAGCATATAAGCTTATGGAATAACTTGGAATTGGGAATATTGCGAACACTTTCAATTTTTGGAGTGTGCCTAGTCCGGAAAAGTGCTTCGGATGTTCCAATCAATAAAATGTTCAAATTTTCATTAAATAGCACTGCGTCAATACCATTGCAAGTGGACTTTTCGTCTCCGAGTGTATCATCAGCTCATTATTCAGTGCTTCCAAATGATTTATAACATAATTTTCTTGAATTATTCGTTGATAATTCAGAAAATATCAAGTGACGACTCCCCGATGCAATGTTGAACTTAGATGAATTTGGATTTTAGCATTTCTGATGTAGGTTACTCAGGATAAACGTTTGAGACGCTCATAATTTATTAAGTGTAATTTTGAGGCTTATGAGCTAACTAATCATAAAATGATATTGTGCCTTGCAAAGTTCATAATCAGTCTAAAATAAAACAGACGAAACTTTATTAATATTTTTTTATAGAATTGCTTAAGTTATTTATTTTTCATACCATTAATTAAAGTTATTTGTCTAAATATCATTAACCTACGGTTTATTTGAAACATTAGAGAACGTCATGTCATAGAATGATGAAAACTGAAATCGTTGTTATTTTCCATTATGTGTTACATGTATATCCAAAACACATTTAGTCTGCCGACAAGCACAATGAAAACTAGAAACTTCGAAGATATAAAGAACGAATTACATGAACAAATCATTGTGCACAGTAAAACATTTTAATGTGTTATTATCCTATATCGATTTTACCAGACAAAATATTTTTGTAAAAAGTTAATCAGTAACTACTATGTAATTCTAGCGACCCCAAGGTTTGACTACGGTAAAAATCATCCCTTGTTTTTCTTCCTACCGACCTTAATAAAATTACCTCTTTCGTTAAAGAATTCAGCAATCGTAGTGCTCAAATGCGACGGAAAAACTGTCACTTTTATGGAAGAAAAATTTACAAACATGGAAGAAAGGCAGTATCAACCGATTCTGAAATAAAAAAAAATTAAAATACCAAATCAATTATCAACTGCTTCCAACAAAATATAATCAACAAGAAGAAACGCGTGGAAAATAAAAATAAAACTCACAAAAGCATCTCTCAATTATTAAAATAAAATCTTACTTATTCACGTGTGTGTTGATTGATTATCAGCGAAACATTTCATCTTGAAAACCCGAAAGGTAATTAGCAGTAATTGCTTTTAATCAAAACTCGCCAAATGGATAGTTTGTCTTTATACGTTATGGATTCGTAATACATGATAAAAACGTACACAGAGGTGTCAGTAAAAAATAAATGCATGCATTATTTCAAAAATTGCGTGAACATCATAATGACCAGATACTCGTTTCATATCACTTGAAATAACAAGAATAATTCAGTGGCTCGGAATACTAAAACATTATAGATTAACAATATTGATGAATAGAACGATTTTTACAATGTTTTAGGTGTACAGGTCTGTCTGAGAAGGTTCATCTGACATCTATCTCATTTTTATGAATCATTGATAAAGTTAATCGTATAATGTAGTACACATATACCTGTACCCTTAGTTACAACTTGAATTTAAAGAAAGACTGCCATCATGTAATTCAACATGATAAGTAATGTGATGGTGACATCTCAGGGTGTGGTGTCTTGTTATATTTGTCAACTGTTTGCATCACCATAAGACCATGTGGTGCATACAGTTATGATCATATCTTCTCATATGTGCCCAAAATTGAATGTCTTGCACGGATGTGTTCTAATTGACTAGAATTATTCTAGTGTTTCTACCCTCAAATAAGTAGCTGGGGCCATACAGGTTTACTCAATTGTGTACTGCATTCAGTCTTTCTAAAAATCAAATAACTGTCTCGACTTTTCTGCTCACCTGACCCATTTTTGATTTTCTCTTTCGGTTTGTAAGTGTATCAAAATTATCACATATATGCAGCCCATCCAAATTTTATGCCTCAGGCTTATGGAGGTACCTAGGTTAAAATGGGTTTATTGCATATTTACTAAGTACAAATTGAAAGCAAACATCATGTCAAGTTATTTTTGACAAATTCGTTAAAATAAATGACTTGCATGCCATTTGTTAATTTGTGAATTTAAACGCTGACGTCAATATTATTTTTTGAATTTGTTTAATAATAACAGTATTACATCAGGTTCTTATAAATTTCCAACAGTTTTTTTTACACTATTTCAAAGGAGTATAGAAAAAGAAAAATCACTTATTACATTTTTTTTGCGTAGTTATGACCTCAACTTATCATTATTTACTAGATAATACACATTTCTTTGTTCTTTTTCGTTAAATAAATGGTCTAGTTAAATGATGACTTTTTGGTTTTCTGTGTCAATTGCTTGCTGTTGATGCCTCACGTTTCAGTTTATTAAAATTCGTATTAAATTTGAAAAAAAGCATGAAGCGCAAGGTCGAACTGACCTTTCAGAAAATGGACTCAAAACAGTGACAATAAAGTCAAAATGATATTTCCAAAGTTATGATAGGAATAAAAAAAAAATATAAACTCTACCAGTGATCATTTTTATGTGCACTGTTGATTTACCTTGTAAGTTTATATCAATTGTCATCTTCTTCCTTATTTTTATCATAAAAACCTTCTAGTAGGTATAATGGTAATTTTGCATTTGGACCCCAAGGACTATTGTCGTAAAGGACCGATCTATCAAATTTGCGGATCTTTTTAATTACAAAAAGTAACTGAACCTTTTCATTTCCTGTATTCGCTCAACATGTTCAAATGCCACGTTAGCTTTTATTTTCCTTCCACTATACCTGAATATGTTTATGATTAAGATTCTAAAATGATGCACCAAGAATATCATTAACATCATGGTATATAAAATGACACAATTAATGTGATTTTGTCTTAATGATGGAATGTCATTAAAAACGCTTTTAACAGATAACATTTTTCAACAACTTAACATACGCACATGCGTATGAAAATATTGATCAACATTTATATGAATTTAATCGAGTACACGGTGTTTCAAAAGAAGAGACCCCCCCCCCTCCCGAAAAAAAAAAAAAAAACAAAAACAAAAAAAAAACAAATACAAATATATTGTACAAATCTTCTTTCGCTAATATTGAAAACCCATAAACACCAACCAAAAATATGAATCTTAAAGAAATAAAAAAGAAACAATGTTGTTGTTTCATCGCGAATAACAATTGTTGGGTATACGTCATAGGGACAGCAATCCCACAACAAACATAACCAAGACATCTTGAAGTCAACATACAGTCTTCAACAATAGACAAGTGTCCACACGATATGCCAAGCATTTAATCGTCCCGAGTCCATTTACCATTTAAATTCACCGGCAAAAATCGGGAAAACAAAAATATTTCAAATATGCTATTCGAATACCGGTATTATACAATTATTGCCTTTGTATGAGATCGATATAAAATCGTATTGACCTCATCCAAAGGCTGCACATGTTATAGTATTGATCATCAACTATTACATGAACAAATTAGTATATCTACTCATACATGTGCGAAACCATATCGGTTATTTCGTGAATGCGCACTTACATTGAGTGCTGCGGGAGGCTGTGTGTTGAGTACGTTAAGTTAAGAGAAAAAAAAATATCGGCTTTAAATCAAAATAATTGGTTTCGATCGGAAGACACCAGTACGTCTCTGGAGCAAATAATAAACTACGACTCAGCGTATATGTTTATCACAAAACAGGGTGGGTATGTGTAAAACATTGACGTGTTCTTGTGATGAATACGCATGCAATATTTGCCGCTGGACATTAAAATTAAGGTAAGAACTGCTTTATTTATTGTATGAATGAATTCATATACACCTTTGACTATTTATTCTAGTTTGTAAAATTGATGAAATTTAATACCTAATACACAAAAAAAGTTATTGTATGTTTTTTAATTTGAGTTCATTGATATGTTTTGGAGTTTAGTGTGACGTTCATTTTCATTGAACTAATACATATTTTTGTTTAGGGGCCAGCTAAAGCCCGTCTCCGGTGCGGGATTTTCTAGCTGTGTTGAAGACCCTTTGGTGGCCTTCGGCTTTTTTTTGCTCCTTGGTCGGGTAGTTGTCTCTTTTACGCATTCCCTATTTCCATTCTCAATTTTATTTATAAAATGATATGGTAAAAATATAGCATAAAGAAAAAAGACATAAATCAGGCCGTTAGTTTTCTCGTTTGAATTGTTTTACATTTGTCATTTCGGAGCTTTTATAGCTGACTATGCGGTATGGATTTTGCTCTTTGTTGATGGCCGTAGGTTGACCTATAATTGTTAACTTCTGTGTCATTTGGTCTCTGCATGGTAGAAAGTTGTCTTATTGGCAATCCTACCACATTTTCCTTTTTAATATCTTATCTTATTCGAATACAATAGCCTTGGAAATAATAAGGTTGAATATAGGAAGTGTGTACAACTGTACCCTTAATTTTTTTCTTCGCATGTTACGTATTTATATATTGAGAGTAAAGTATGTCACTTTATGAGATATGATGGGCAAATGAAAATATTTCCAAATACAATATACATGCGTAATATATGAATGCTTCGAATGCGGCTTGAAAACAAACGAACCAATAAGCGTCGGAACTGCTGAAGTTGTGTAAGCCATTTCTTTAAATATATATTTGGTAAAAAAAGTTCTATGTTAACAAAAAAACCTAATTCTTACAAATCTAATGTTATCTTATGCAAAACAAATTACAGGAAATGTACTTACTTCTTTGAATA